ATATATATGTGTGTGTGTGTGTGTGTGTGTAATTAAATTGACTGCTTATTAATAAATACAACGTATTGAATCTTAATTCGTTACTTAATTCGTTACCTAATTACTCTATTTTACTAACTGTGTATTTGAAGTTTCAATGAATAGATTCTGAAATGACATCCGGGAATAGCATAGACTCATAATGTAGGCCTATTTAAATGCACTCTGAAGCAGCAGGACATGAGCCCTATATTTACCACCAAGGATTTTGAAAATGTGTTTTGGATTTTCAAGAAAACGCGTTCTTTTTACACGTGTCACTTAATTACATGCGTTAACCATCCTCTTGATCATCATAAGTGTATGCCTCATAATGCAGCCCATTTCGCTTGTTGATTTTCCTTGTATGCACTATTCAAGAAGAAAAGGTAAAAATGTGTTATTATTTATTGAAACGGATCTTTTCAAAGTTAAAAATTGACATCCGAGAACTAGGCCAGGAAAGGAATACTCGCTTATCCCACAACAACACGTGTTGTCCGATGTTTATGTGAAGTAGAAACCGTGCGAACTACTGATTTCGTTCGCTGAGCGAAAAATTCCGATTGAAATGCGAATGCACATGCGCATGAACCGACGCTAATTCGCTTCGTGTAAAACCCGGCTTTTGGCAACAAAACAATTTTCAAGAGTACTGCGCTAAAACCCACCGTTACTATTGCAGCCCCTACCATATCTCTGACTTCTAAACGACCGAATGTTTATAATTTGTAGCCTTCTCAATGTCTTTTTTTTTTCAAATTTTAATTGTATATTTTTATAATCACCTTCTAATATTGATGTATGGTTTTTAAAATAATTTATGCCCTTTTTTGTAGGAAAATAAGGCAACAATTCAGCCTTTGACTGCAAATGTATTTTAAATGCTCAGTGAAGTGTTTTTGAATTTTTTGAAATAAAGATACCAAGATATAGGCCTATATAAGAACTGACCAGTCTTTATAGGGTCAAGATCGCGCGCATGTACCACAAACACGCATGTTCTGCCCCCTCCCCACCCCAACACGAACACACATCTTTACGTATGTTTACGCTGCCGTCTTGTGAGACCAAGGCAATTCAACAAAAGGACGCAAATCTCCGCTCTCGTACATAGCTGAATTGCCTTGGTGAGACCATAACAACAATATATAGGGGCCGAAAAGTTCCATTAGTAATTTACGTCTAGATTGAATAACGTTGACACAAATGGTTAGTGGCGGACCAGTGGCGTTAGGGCCGCGTGCCTGCACTAGTACTGTAGACGCCCCCCCCCCACCCCATCTAGACCAATCCTAGGGGTAAAGTTTTTTTCGGTCAGTATAGTGCGCTCTCATTTTCACCAAGTCCTGGAACCGAATGATAGACAAATGTATTAGTCCTTACCTGAAAACTGTCTAATATATCTTGGTGTGTCTCACCAGTTTGGTAGCAATTCGTAGAAGATCCTTGTAACTGTTAGAAAATAAATCTAGCTTTCTGTATTGCCCATACAAATACTGTTTTGTTCATTGAGTTGTTAATTTCATTCAGAAATGTATGCCTAAGTGCTGTATTGTGAAATATATATGTCGTTCATAATTATTATTTTAAGTTGTATTATAGTAAATAAATACTGTTTAATCAAATAAATCTTACCTTATATTCTAATAATTCGAGGGCGCTTTCTATTTGTTGTGAAACCGTATTTTGGCCGAACCAGGGTCTGAAGACTTCAGTTGTATTGGTAACGAAGTTAAGAGTTTGTATGTACGTCGACTCCTATCATGTATAAACATGTATAACAGTGCGATTATACTACCATCAAGTTTTTCAGCTATACAATATTAATGACTATTTTATTAGGTGGGTCTTCATTTTGAATTAATCGTTTTATCTTGTACATCATAATACTTCTTTTGTCTGTCTCCGTTTTTGTCTCTATGTGATATTTTAGGACCCCGTTGGAAACAAGTTCTTCTGAACTTTCACTGGTTATTCTGGCATT